GACATCCTGGTGGGAAAAGTGGTTTAACAGAATTGGCTGGAAAACAACAGTGTTAATGTTCTGGTGTGGCCTAGTCAGAGTACAGACCTCCATTCACGGCTACATGTGAAAATGAGGGATACTGCAGTATCCAGATGTACGAACTGCCACTGGCCTATCCACTGTAATTATTACTAAAGATTCATCTATTAATATTGATTTGGAGATTAATACCATGTGTATTATTTATTTTTTATTTACATAATATTGCAAGATTGTTTTTATTTTGATATTAATATAGTCACTTTTTGTTCATCAATTTTAAAAAACCTGAATTGAAAAAACTCCTAGAAGTTAAATACTTTAAAAACCTTATTTTAAAACTGGTGCCAGTACTGTCCACAGATTCAAAGAAGTGAATTACTCATATTTCACTTTTATCTTGATAACAACACTGGAATTGTTATGCCACTGTCATTACTCTATACAATTAAATAAGAACACAGACTCTGTCCTATTAAACATACATGATCTTTACAGTGTCATTAGCTGTCACCATGGTGGTTGGAGACAGACATGGACATGTGTCCCGACAGTAGAGCCACACACTACTAGCCTACAGCTACCAGGGACAGACGGCTGACAAAAACACTAATGAAGTGAACAACACAGCCTTGTTAGTAAAGTTTCACCAGAGCAGCTTCAGTGCTACTATGATGGAGGGAGGAAACATTTTCCCAAAACATATTCCCCTCATTGCGTTCCACACTGTTTCCACACTCCATAAACAAGTAATTTCATTGACAGAAATTTAACAGGCAAATATTCTGAAGCAAAAACCACCAACATGTTCTGGTTACACCTTCTTTAGAGTAAGGAACTGATGTTTTTCTCTATCAAACATGACAGAGCATAAATGGAATATGTTTGGATTTGTTGTTAGACAAAACAAGACACAATCTTTGACTCTGGAAAGTCAAAATGGGCATTTTCCCAATTTTGAGATTTTGTGAATAGGAAGAAAAATCGTATGACCAAGAACATCACTAACTGCTCAATCAGTGACTCGTTTATTCAGGATTTTACCATTAATGTCACCCATCTGTACTGTATGTGCAGTTAAAAGACAAGGTGAATATACACGAGGCATTAAATTCAGTCTTTGACAAGTTTAAGACCTGTAACATACTGACAGCAATGTCTGCCTCTATATGAGCAGCATAGGTGCGTGGGCAGTAAGGATATTGCACAAATCAGAATCACGCTATCAAATTCCTGGCTATGATTTCATAAGAACTTGCGTTTCGGAGGAAGAGGTGGCGTCAACAGTCCGCATCTACTGACGAGCCACTGCCCCATTTCGTCTTTCAACTACTTCCCAAACTGTGTTGAGGTGTGTGCGGCATGTACTGTCTGAGGTCCAGCTACAGGTGGTGCCTCCGTGACGTGCTGTATTTAAACAAACCGCTCAATTATACGTTAAGATCCGAACATTAGACATGCTAACACTCACCAACAGGTCGCCGGGACCTCACATTCAACCTAAACGTATCCCTAAGACCACATGTAGCCACACTAAGGTAATACTGAATAATGCTGTAACCATGCTGCCGACAACACCCAGCCCCACGGCCTCGGGCTGAACCCTGGGGAGCATCAACCATACCTGTCCTCACTTTCACGCTAGCTAACGAGCTAACGGGACCGTCAAGTCAGCCAGTGGTGCACCGCACAAATCCATGACAGACAGCGGTACCTTGTCGTTGCCTAGTGGACCACTTAAACAATAAAAACAGTACTTTCACCCAAAAGTAAACTCACAAGATTCCAGAGCAGGTGGTACAGACGAAGGAGCCCACTGTCATGTTGACATAGGTCGGGCCGCGCTGGTCGCAGTCGAAACATTTCCTGTTCGCGGGAAGGCTAGTCATTTCCCGGAGCATCTTCAGATGAGTCTCCTCCTGCTTTCGTTTCGCACTCGTCGCCATGGGCGAAAACGGGCTTGTATCACCGGGAAAGAAGTTTGTTCAAGGGACCCGGGGCAGGAAGGGTGTCTTCTGGGCTGACTTGCCTTATACCACGAGTGACCAGGCAGACACCTTGCTTAGAGGTCTAACGGGGCGACTGACACGCTTCTTCTTCTACACAGGAAAAAAAAAAAAGGAGAAACAGATCCGCTCTGAGTACCGGCGCCACCTGCTGGTTAGGAACGACGCCTCAGACTTCGATGAAAAGTGACGAAATTTTCCCGAAAATAAATAAATAAACAAAACTGTGCTATGAAAACACTGCACTTGTACGGTTTGTGGTGTTTGACCCAACCCCACATCCTGTCATACTAACAACAATATCACACAAAGAAATAAATATTTTAATCTAACAAGAAATACAATTTAATATAAAACAATGTACTCTGAAAATGCTTTCTTTTCAAAATAAAACATTCTTAATCACATGAATTTAAACATTTCATGATCCCTTTAACACATGATGCAACTGCAGGAAACATTTTAAAATTCAAGTCTTTGGTCCCTGCCTTGGCACCCTTTACACAGCAGGTGCTCATTGACTATCTAGTGATGAGACATCCCCTATCTCCAGTTTTGGCACTGATCACACTGTTCTCTTTCATAGCCATCCAATGCCTGCTTTGGTTTTCTTTGTGGCTTTGCAGGAAACCGCTGGGTGCACTGAAGAGCTGCTCAGTGAACTGCATTGTTGTACACATGATCAGATTATTGTATTATCAGTGGGGGTAGCACTCCCATGATTGTAGGTGTGTGGTTGTCTATCTCTATGCATCAGCCCTGTGATAGACTGTCAACCTATCCAGGGTGTACTCCGCCTCTTGCCCAGTGTCAGCTGGGATTGGCTTCAGCCCCCCCCCCTCTTCAGGATAAACAGTATAGTTAGTGGATGGATGGACAGATGGTAGCACTCCCATGCAGACACAAAGATGAAGTCAGTGTCATACAATATGCCTGTTTTGGCTTCTTCATGGAAACTAAAAGGCACTTGGAATTTCAAAGCTCAGTCCCCTGCAAAACCATTATATAAAAAGATATAAAGCTGCTGAAACCTCATAAATAGAGTTACAAAGGAAAAAAATAAATGAAATACAGTTTGGTCGATGACATGATGTTAAAGCTGCTGGTCTGTTGAAAAACAAAGTATCTCATGACATAAATTCAAGACCAGAATCACAGATTTACAGAGACCTTAAGACAAGACATGCCTTCTGTTTTTTTCCCCATACTACTCAGGCAGACAGGGTTGAAAACAACTTTTTCCCAACTTTGATGGTGAAGGGAGCAGGTGGCAGACAGTGGTGGTTATTTTGACTTTGGTCTCTTTATGCCGCTGCTTGAAGCATCTGCAGCTTCCATGGGCTAGATGCAGAAAGACAGAATCAAAAAGACTTGCTCAGATATCAGATTTGGAAGCACTGGACATTTCTATTGTTTCCAGGGAAAGCTAAACATTTTCCCTGCTTGATTGGAGAAGAACCCATGATTTATCCCAACATTTTAAAGGTTGTTTTAAAAGTTTTAATTAACTTAATCATTTTCATCCAATTAAGCCCCCAAATCAATTTACTAAAATCTTTAACATGCACAAAATTTAGAATTGTTTTTGAAGATGACTGTTTGGTTCACCTTCCCCCTCTTTCTGGTCACTCTAAAGAAGTCCTGCATTTGAGTTTGCCTGCTTTGTCCAGCTGCCCTCTCTCTTTCCCGCTTCTCCCGCGTCTTACGAAACGTCTCCATGCGATGACTGATTCTGTTCTCCCTAAAAACACAGCAACATGAATACAGTTCATAGCCATATTTGATAGAGAGACAGAAGCATGTGAAAAGGAAGCTAGGCTTGAGCAAAAATACAGTCACAATGAGCACATACTTAATGTGTCCGGCCTGACAGAGGAACTTAACCAAGGCTTCTTCATTTGGCTCAGTCCATTTGAGTTCAGGAACTTCAGTTTGTGGAGCATCCAAGAATATTTTTCGTGCTTCTTTGTACCCCCAGGACATGGGCACAGTATGGGCCTAAACAGCAGTGGACAGTAGTGTCTACAGATGTCCTTAAAGCATTGTACAGAAAGAATAACAAAGAGTGTCCATCTTATACCTGTCTGTTGATATGTAAAACCACATTCTCAATCGTATGGTGCTTCTGGATCAGAGTCAGAGCCTTTTTAGGACCCAGTCCAGTTATCTTGTCACAGTAGTCGCAGCCCAACAGAATACACAGGTCAACAAACTGGTAGAATTAAATTGAAAAAGGTGGAACATTATTACAGTATAGAATACTTCCATAGAGTGGTATTACTAATTATATCATTTGATTAGTCTTACCTCCTTATGTGTAATGTTCAGCTTATCTAACAGCTTGGTTAAAGAATATTCAATAACATTACTGTGAAAAAGAAAAAGAGAATGGACCAATATTAGACAAACTAGTAGAGGGAACAGTACATGCACATTAAAGGTTACAGATTCTGTCACCAGAGATTAATCAGCCAACCCCAGGCTTGTCAGACAGAAAATGGTATCAGCAAAATGAGTCAAGCTGACAGAAACATTTTAGGCCACAGTATAATCTTCAACAGAAAAAAGCGCTCATTCAACATGGACTTGCACGTCCCACTGTCATTCAAAGTGATATGCTGATGGACTGCTGTATGCAGCTCACATCCGTCCAACATGTCACTCTTATGACCTGCTAGATAAAATTATAAGCACCTAGTTAAACTTCTTCTGAGAGTTACTGTGTCTTAAAATATTTCTCAGTTTGTCCCAGTTTGCTGCTCTTCAACCCGACTGACAGTATGATATCAGGCTATAGGGCTCACTGCCTCCACTGATGTCTATGCATCAGTGTCGACCTAAGATTATCCTTTGTCAAGAGCTACTTTGCTATTATTATTTACACATACACACATCTACAGAGGACACATGGCCCATGCTGCTGGAAAATTACATCCACAAGCTTGTGTCTTCTGTACATAATTGCACCAGCATTAGAAAATTTTACATCATGTTTCATGCTTTCAACTACAAAATATTGCTAAAACATTATAACCTTGACAAACATACAGTACATGTAAGCATGGTATCCACTATGATGGACAACTCATCTCAATCATGCTACAAGTCTCTATAACCATAAGAAACCCCCAATCATTTCCAACCTGTCCCTCTTAGCATTCAGATGGCGAATAAGAAAACTGGCTCCAAATGGCAGTGTATCCATATCCTCTGACGCCGCCGCATCCACAGTCCCCCTTTTCACCAGCTGGGCACACAGTGCCTCAGCATCCCCTGGAGCCTGGAGCACAAGACACAAAGAGGTGGAGATAATAATAATAATAATAAATATTATATTTTAATAATTACAAATATAAAAATAAATACATTATTATTATATTTTTGCCCTGGTGTGGACTTTTTGTACCTTGACAACAGGTACACCCAGAAGCTCCAGAAGTTTAATGCAATTTTCCTTCTGAGAAGACTCTGCATGAAGCACATGATTCAACATTCACTTTAAGACATTCCAACAATAATACTAATGCATACTGCATATCTCAGTATTCAAAAGAGTTCTAATACTAATGAAAACCTCAAAACCTGTACTTTTTGTTATGATTTCGATGTACCTGTGCCCATGCAGTTCGGTGATCTCCAACCAGCCGCCTTAGCTCGCTTCTCAAGCTGCAGGAAAAGCAGGAGCTTCAGTCAGCCTGGGTCACTGTCATCTGTATCACACCATCTCTATGATATCACCTTAGCCCATCAAATTTACTCTTATGTCCTTCAGTCAACACAGAGGTCAGTTCTACTGGCATTATGAGCACATGCGGGAAGAATTCAGATTAGTCTCGCTGACCCCTGACTGCCTTACACACACATCAAAAGAATATGTTCAGTATCAGGTTAAGTCAAAAGATTCAGTGTCACTTACAACAGGTGTCTTTTCTGCAGGAGGCCTTCCATCCAACACAAAGACTGGCTTTATGTCATGTTCCAGGAGGGTGAGTGTGCGAAAGAAGAGACCTGCCAAGGGGCTACAGGGGAGAAAGAAAAGGCAGGGCAGCAGTATAGTGGCTTTACAAAATATATAAACTTTTTTTGCACACCTCATTGCGCTGTAGATTTAATTCTAAATGGATCAAGTTGCTATTTTGCAGCACTGATCTACATTCAGTAGCACAAAGTGAAAACATGTTTAGAAAATTTGGTTAGTCATTCAGAACTAAAACTGCAATCACTCATTTACAAAAGTGTTCAGACCATTAATTTAATACTTTATAAAGTTCATTTGGCACCAACTACAGCTTTGAATCTCCTTGGGTAAGTCTCTGTGAGCTTTACAAACAGATCCTTTCAAACTCTGTCAGACTGGATGGAAGCATGTGAACTGCCATCTTCAGGTTTCTATACAGATGTTCTGCGGGGTTTAAATCTGTTGGCTGGTCCACTCAAGGACAGAGATCTGACCCGAAGCCACTCTAGTCTTGTCTTGGCTGTATGCTTAAGGTCACTGTCATGTTATAAAAGGTGAATTGGCACCCCAGGCTCAAGTCTTTGCATTTTGGAGCAGGTTTTCTATAAGGAACTCTCTACACTTAGCTGCGTTCAGTCTTCCCTTGCTTCTGATCAACCTCCCTGTGCCTGCTTCTGAGAAGCCCCCAGGGCATGATGCTGCCACCACCATGCTTCACTGTAAGGACAGACGAAGAGCGGCTGAGATGGTTGTCCAGGTGTGTGCGTTCTGAAACTATGTCCAATCAGTTCACTTTGCCATAGATGGCCTCCAATCAAGTTCTACACACAATCTCAAGAATAATTCAAGCAAACAGGGTGCACCCTGCCAGTTTGGAATGCTGCAGCAAAGGGATTGAATACTTCTGTAAATGTGTTTTTGATTTTTTTTTTATTTTATTAAAAACATGTTTTCTCTTTGTCATTACATGTTACTGAGTACAGACTGATCCTAAAAAGAGAAAAGGGTCACTAAGAACTCACCTTAGTTGAGGTGTCACTGCACGGAACTGCTGCAAAATAATAGAGGTGTCCAGTGCGATTGTTTTTCCTGTGAATGTGACGGCACCGGCTTCTTAAACACCACGTGATACACTTCCACCGTAGTCATTAATGGTTTACATGAACTTTAATCGATTGCAGTACTTAAGCAGATCTACTGTATGACGTACTGTTACCTTGCCACTGTAATACATTTTGCAAAATAATAGAGGTGTCCAGTGCGATTGTTTTTCCTGTGAATGTGACGGCACCGGCTTCTTAAACACCACGTGATACACTTCCACCGTAGTCATTAATGGCTTACATGAACTTTAATCGAGTGCAGTACTTAAGCAGATCTAGTGTATGACATACTGTTACCTTGCCGCTGTAATACATTGAATCAGAGGAAAATGCCAGTATTATAATCAGTCCATTACATAACTGTGTTGCTTTTAACAGCAGCATTAAACTTTAGCCAGTCCGCCGGCTGTATGCTAACGTTAGCCAGGCAGCCGGCTGTATGCTAACGTTAGCCATCAGTCAGTTTTACTATAACCTAGGATTATCCGTGCTAATAAAACAAAGAAACTGAAGCAAGGACAGGAACGTTACCTGTGTAGTCTGTGATTTCTTTGTGAGAAATAGCATCCGGAGCATCTGAGTGGATCAATTCTGTCAATTTCCTGATCCCCATTGTAAACCTAGCACTACTTTGTTTTCCGAATACTTCTGGTTGTTGTTGGTGGTGTCCTTAAGGAAAACCTGCTCCAAATTATTTATGTGTGGTTTATAGAGGATCTTGGATTGTTCAAATGGGCTCCTGCGAGAAACTTAATAAAAAAATAAAAAACTAAACACGGCTCTACAACAACATCCAGTGAGAAAACGCTGGAACATCTTCCTGTTATTGGACACCAACAGCCCAGTGGGGGCAGCACTGTACAAACACAGGGGTGTGGAAGAAATTAACATCCATCATTTAATACAGCAAAATATTTACAAATAACGAATGTATTTATATACTACAAAAAGTGACTTCAAACTCCAGCTTTAAATAATAGGCACAGATCTTATCAGAAAAAAAAAATCACAATCTGTTGATGCATTACACAGGATAAATAAACCTCCATGAAATACATTGTTATTCAAAAATAATGGCAACAAAAATTCATATATAGCCATCTATTACACATGATCATACACACAGTAGCATTAAGATTTATATCACTGCATGATGAAGACAACCACATAATCCTTGCTTTTATTCTTGGTGGTAATTTATAGTGGAAAAGTAAAAGTGGTTAAATTTTCTGGAAACACATGCCCAAACTGTGTAAACAGTGTTGATGGGAATACATGAATTCTTAGATAATATGCACAACATCTTAGCATCTTTGTTGCCATATCACAATCACTGGGCATGTGGCTGCCAACAAGGTAAAAAATAAGATTAAAGGCTATACAAGTACTGTACACAAATGTTTTGGGTAATGAGAAACTCAAGGTACACTCAGGGTAAATGCTATGGCCTGTCTAGATTTAGTCATCTGACACTTTAACAGTGTAGTTTCTAATGAAATAGATGAACTTCATCTTCAAACAAAGCAGAGAGTTCAGGTCTAATGCTTGGTCCTTTAACTGTAGTTCCCACAACATTTGTTCCTTAAATAAATCTTTATACCCCCCTAACCATTCTTCTCCTGAGGCTAAAAAGTCACATTTTGTTTATTCTCACAAAGGTCAATGATGGTATGCATTGTGTATTTGCTGTGCAATCTTAAAGGTGCAATTAGCAACATTGTCCGCTTTGCACAAAAAAAACCACAATACAGCAGTGAGGGTTGTAGTATTTGTTGTTTCATGCCAAGCACTACTTTGCCACTACAAACTAAAGTCCATATGATCTTTATCACATTTAATTTAGTCTAAACCCAAGTGAATATCAGAGTAGTATTTTAATAGTAGAGAAAACCTCAGACTCTGAAGTGATTTAGAGTTGGACAACAGCTCTGAATCAGCTAGTCTGGGCCCAGTCAAGTGTCCAGTATTTGTTGTGGCTGTAACATAGCGAACATCAGCTGCTAACATTTTGGAAACATTCAGATATTGTTGTGCTTTGTCTTGCTAGTTATTTGCCAGTTCACAGAGGAGTAAGATACAGAGACAAAACTTTGCCAGTGTTTTAAAACTAAGTCGAAATAGTAAATATTATTGTTCTGGTGCCTCAGATCATAGTTCAAAAAGTGCTAAGCTTGCATTTTCCAAGTGAAATCTCAGTGTAGAATTTTCTATAAACACATGGAAGGTTGTGGATGAGAACACTACCAAAGTTGCTGTAGTTTGCCATGGTTGCCTTAAGAAGTTTGTAAAGACCCATATTTTAATAGCCGCATTGTTGCTTTGGCTTTCAGTGCACTGGCAGACTCAGTCTTTTCCTATATTAGCGACGGAACCAGATCCAGGTGTTAAAAAGCCAGAATGCCACTGTAGCAGAGTACAGGACCACCTCCCGCTTGGAGCGTTCCTTGTTTTCTTCCTCCAGCAGGTGCAGACGCCGGTTTAACTTCACAATCTGGGAGATCACATGACACAAAAAGATGTTTTCTCCAATGTAAAACTGATCGCAATGTGTCAATGCTAGGCCTGGGGTTCTATTCTAAACTGTAAGTTGGTAAGACAGTGTGGAAAGAAACTAATTGATATTAACTTTGATATTGTAGACATGGAAAACCTCTTCCTCCTTTTGGATTTTTTCCTGGGATTAGGTTTTGAAATAATGAACCAACTGCAGCAGCAACAGTTAAATGTTGCTTTTAGTTTTAAAGAGCTGGCTTCTTCCTGGCCCATGATTTGATTAGTGCATGCAATATGTTTGTTTCCAGCAGGGCATGTAAAAATGCCAGCTGTAACTGATCACTGCTGCCCTGCCAGCATCCTTTGAAAGCAGCCTGACATCAGATACACAATTTTGCTGTGTCAGCATGTTTTTGTACCCCAACAGTTGTAAACTGCAAACTGAACACAACACAAAAGATACTCACAACCGGCACAACATACACACCAGAGAAGAGGAGAAGCATATTAATCACTTACTTATTACTTACTTACTTACTTAGTGGTAAGTAAGTAATACCACATGATACTACTGAGCCAATCACGTTACCTGTCGTCGTAGTGAGGAGGCGTCCATTAGGCCAGACTCATCAGGGTTTATATCCAGGGCCAAGTCCATGTGTGTCCTTTGGAGATGAACACATCATAAATTAGGATAACAATAATAATGGCATAGCTAAACAAACAACCCTGAAAGAGAACGTTTTGAAGTGTACACTTCTACTAGCACATACTATATGAATTTACCCTGTGTTGTCAATTCTGAAGTTGTCTGTCTGAATACAACAGTTGTACAAGAGCAGAATTTTGATGACACAGACAGGTACTGGTCCTTTGCTGCTGCCCTACACGCCAGAGGCCATATAGGACAGTAAGTAAATAGGTAAGACAGGTACCATAAACTCCAGGCAGAACCACGAAAGTATTGTTTTTGGCTCACACAGAAGGTAACAATTCAACTGTCCTCATTTACTGTTTAATGCCATTGTGCTGGTCAGAACCTAGCCCAACAATAATCTCCATTTAAGATTTAATACTTCAAGGATCTACATCATACACGTGTCACTACATGCACGCCCGTGTGGGTATAGCCCTCAACCATCATTGCTCATACTTGCAGCACGAGGCTTCATGGAGCTGCCACTACACACGGCACTACAAAGGGGATGAAATTCTAAATGATTAGAAAGACAAATTGTTGTGTTCGTGGTATTCACTGTGTACGAGGAACCGGGTTTGATGATTTACTGCATCCAATGAAGCCATTTGTTAAGCGAACCATACATTCCTGTAGCAGGCACAGTATGCCTGTTTGTTTAGAGGTAGCATTGAGGTCTCATGATACTACTGAGCCAATCACTATCAAGGAGTCGTGTGCCCTCATGCACAGAGTCCCCATAAAATGACTGGCCCGCGCCAGGCCTGCACGCTTTGGTAGTAACTTAAATGCAGAGGGGTTCTGATAGGGCACAGGGGGCTTGTGGCTCCCTCTGTAACAAGCCCCACCATTACCTGCAACATGCAGTACAATATGTACCGTGTACCCCATTTACAGTGAAGGCAGTTCAACAACAATTTAGCAAATACACTTGGCAGAATAAAATTCAACACATTATTTAGTCCATTCTCAACTTTTTCCATTCCAAACTGTTCAGCCCGCCCCCAGATCCCTAAATATGGGCGTCTTTAATTTTCCATTCAGTCAAACAATTAATCCAAACCTAATCTGTTGCCTGTCTGCTACTCGCCATCTCAAACCCATCAGCTGTTCGCCACATCCAAGTATTAATAGCAGTGTGCTATTAAATATACAGTATAGCGGGGTACCCAGAGGCAAGGCCGATCTGCTTCTAAGCCACATATGAGACACTCTTACCACATTACTATTTTCTATTTTAGTCAGAAATGCAAAGACAACCCAAATCAGGTAACAAGCATCATTCCAGCACAACTGTCATGGGCATCACTTCACAAACTCATGCAATTCATCCAAAATATTTTCCCTCTTTTGGCTTCTTCCAGCTGCTTTCTCCCCTGCTACAAAAACTCCTACAATACATAACTTCTTCCACCATTACAGCTCTTCACTAAGAAGTGGGAAAGAAGTCTCATCTTTTCTTAATTTTAAGAAAACATCCTAATTTCATGACGTTTCTTGAATGTAAGGAATGGTTGTTTCTTCTGAGAAGCTTTCCAAATACAGGTAACTTCTGTGATGTGAGGGACAAAGAAGAGAAGTCACCTGCGGTGGCTGTCATCCAGGAATTCGAGGACCTGCTGGTACGCTCTGCGTGTTGTTGACTGGACGTAAGACAGGAACCCTGCAACTGTGAACAGGTGTGTGTTTGCATCCTCGGGGGAATAGAGCGGTGGACACAAACGGACTGGAGGAGCAGAAGGGGAAGGGATTACACTGGCAGAGAGGTGAGTGGGGAGAAACAGTAAAGACAGAAAACATTTTTTTAAACCAAAAAAGAGCCAAATAAGATGCAGCAGCAGAGAAACAGTGTTCTAACAGGTATCTCAAATATGGATGTGCTTACCATATGTCCCCTCTGCTGGTCTGACTGCTGTGACGGCCAGATATGTTGTCACTAGCACTGCGCTCCCTTCGAGACCGAGAATGAAAATGGGCCTAGGAAACATACAAAAGGTATGAAATTGTCTCGTGTTATTTTTCACTTTCTTTCAAAGCACGTTGGCATAAACTGACAACACACCAATTATTAGACTGATTACAGCCACATTTTGTTCAGCATAACTAGCTGGAGAGAGTCGATGGTGACTGTGGCTGCTTTTAACTGATGTGTGGCAGCTGTTTCCCCACTGCAAAAAGGTGAAATTTGGCATTTGTTCTTGTTTTCATTTCTACTTTAAGAACCGCAAACCACACAAGAAGCAGGCACATCCTCCTTTAGTAGTCCCCTCTACAACCAACCATTTTAACAACTGCCACAGACAGATAATGAGTTTTGGTACCACTGTAGGTAATGTGTCCTTTTAATCTTCCTTCATTTCCTTGTTTTTTTTCCCTTCTCACCACTGGTTGACTATGTAAATCATTCTTCCCAAGGTGCGTCACTTTTGTTTTCCTCACAGCCAATTCGCACTCTTGTTGAATACAATCAAAAATAAGGGCATGCATTTATTATTTCTGTGACCTAATGTTTTAATTAAAGCAGCATTAGTTTTGAAAAAGGCAGTGATCCCCAAACACTCAATATCCAGTGGCAGAGAAAATGACTGTAGGGGAGAATGAGCACATGTGTAACTATCTCCTCCTGTAACTACAGTCTGAGTTTTACTGTGAAGCACCATTAAGACATGGTCAAGAACTGAAAATTAAATCATACTTTTTAAGCACCAATGGGCAGAGGAGGCACACACTAATGTAGCAGAGCTTCATAAACATAAACAACTGAACTAGAAGAGTAGAAACATTCCAAATTTTCTTTAGTGCACATCCATGGCATTTATGAAAAAACAAATTTGGATTTTTTTCAAACATTCCACCTAAAATGTCCTTATTAGCTTTTATTTTTCATCCAATAACCTTCAGATCATTGCCTTCCTACTCCTTAAAACTGGCTCCACTTAATCTTAATAATGTCTAAACTGTTATTACATCTACAATATTTTCATCAACAAAACTTACAGACGTAACTAATTAGAGCTATTGCATTAATACTATAATAAAGTAAAAGTATCACTGTGGATCATGGACACAAGTGCTATGTTTTGTGAGACTCGGTGTTTATTCACAGTGTAATAGTGCACCATTATTTGGATCAGTGTCAAGTTAAGTGAATTAAAAAAATTCAATTCACACTAATGTGAAATAAAAAGGCAGAACTGAAACTATGGACTGGCTCTTACCACCTGGCTGGGGTTGCTCTGTGAAGAGGCAGTCTGATCAGTCTCAAGGGAGTCCAGTGGCTGCTCTGTAAGGGTGAGGACACGCGGCGGGGCCTTCATGCTCAGGAGGTCCACAGGAGGGATGGACTGAATCAGGTCCAAGTCTCTTGGACAAACAAATCGAGGGTCCCCATCATCACCTGCAGATGAAGCGGGTAGGAGATGAAGAGGAGGTCAATCGGATAGTGATGCACATTTTCTTCCAATATCGTAGACACAAACACAAACTCTCCGGATTTCTACTATGAAACATTTTACTGAAGTCCTGTCTGCTGCC